ACATTTTTAGGCATGAAAATAACTCTAGACAAAAGAACAAAACTAAGAGAAGATGAAAAATCTAAAGACGAAATGAACATACCAGTAATGAAGGATGCATGTGAGAATCTACACAGATGAAATGCTTGAAGTTTGAGAACTAATGGGGTATACACTATGTTTGCTTAGGGCTCGAGAGTTCAGAAAGTGTAAAGTGCAAATAGTGTTGAAAAACCCTATTTATAGGTTGACCCAGCTGGGCCTTGAACTTACCTGAGTGCGGCCGCACAATTTAGACTGTGGTCCGCACTCTTTACCTGACCCTGTGAAGAAGCTCTGCGGTCCGCACAAAAGTGAGTGCGGCCGCAAATTGTTAATGAATTTTGACAGGCCAATCTTCAGAGAGCATGCACTTTTGGTCGCAGCTGTGCGACCGCACACAGAATTGTGTGGTCATAGAGTGACTCTGCGGTTTGCATAATTCTGGTGCGGTCCGCACTTTTGTGACACTTATCCAATTTTTCTTGCACAGTCCCTGCAATACACACCCATTCTTGCATGCACTTCAAAACTAGTTAGCACAAAGCCTACCTAATCTAAAGATGAAAACCAAGAAAAAGAAAAAAGACACATGGGTTGCCTCCCAAGAAGCGCCTGATTTAACATCGCGGCACGACGCAAATTACCGATCATTTGAAACGAAGAACCGCCACAATGTGGCCATCATCAACCTTGCCAAAATGATGTTTAACCTGGTGCCCATTGACTATAAACACCTCATCGTTCTTATTTTTCAAATCTAGAGCACCAAAGGGAGTTACATTCACCACTTCAAAGGGGCCACTCCATTTTGACTTCAACTTGCAAAGAAACATCCGTAACCGGGAATTGAACAATAGAACAAGATCACCTTCTTTAAACTCCTTGTTGTGGATGTACTTGTCATGGAGGTACTTCGTCTTCTCCCTGTAAAGGGACGAACTTGTGTAGGCATGATATCGGGATTCATCAAGCTCATTCAAATGTGCCACCCTTAAGTTTGCGGCGATATCCCACTCAAGGTTCAACTTCTTCAAAGCCCACATAGCCTTATGCTCAAGTTCCACCGAAAGATGACACGCCTTCCCAAATACCAATCGATATGGATACATCCCAATCGGTGTTTTGTAAGCCGTCCTATAAGCCCAAAGAGAATCATCAAGTTTTCTTGACCAATCCGTTCTGTTGGCATTCATAGTTTTTGACAAAGTACTCTTGATCTCCCGGTTGGTGACTTCAACTTGTCCACTTGCTTGAGGATGGTAGGGGGTCGAAACTTTGTTGAGTGACACCATACTTGGTGAGTAAGCTATAAAAAGCCTTGTTGCAAAAATGCGAACCCCCATCACTAATAATGGCTCTAAGAGTACCGAATCTTGTGAAGATGTTCTTCTTCAAAAATGCCACCACACTTCGAGCTTCATTGTTGGGTAAAGCCACAGCTTCAACCCATTTTGACACATAGTCCATAGCTACTAAAATATAAGTGTTCCCACAAGAGCTCACAAACGTCCCATGAAATCAATACCCCAAACATCAAAGATATCAATTTCCAAGATGGTGGTGAGGGGCATCTCATTCTTCTTAGAAATCCCACCAGCCCTTTGACATTCATCACAACCCTTGACTAGATCACTAGCGTCCTTGTAGAGAGTGGGCCAATAGAATCCACAACTCAACACATTTGTAGTCGTTGTCGCTCCACCATGGTGACCACCATATGGTGAAGAATGGCAAGCCTCAAGAATTCCCATTTGTTCTTATTCCGGCACACATCGTCGGGTCACACCATCGGTACATATCCGGAAAAGATACGGCTCATCCCAATAATAGTCAAGGCAATCCCGTTTGAGCTTCTTCCTTTGGTTTGAACAGAACTCATTCGGTACAATGCCGCTCACTAGATAATTTTCTAAGTCTGTGAACCATGGCATCCCAGTCATTGAAACGGCTAGGGGTTGCTCGTCGGGAAATGAATCATTGATCTCAAGGCTGTCATGTGGCCTCCCCTCCTCCTCCAATCATGACAAGTGGTCCGCCACTTGATTTTCACTACCCTTGCGGTCTTGAATCTCTAGATCAAACTCTTGCAATAGAAGCACCCACCACATTAACCTTACCTTATAATCCTTCTTGCTCGTCAAATATCAAAGCGCCGCATGGTTGGTGTGAACAATCACCTTTGTACCCATCAAATACGGGAGAAACATATCCATAGAAAAAACAATAGCAAGTAGCTCTTTTTCGGTCACGGTATAGTTCACTTGGGCATCATTCATGGTCTTGCTAGCATAGTAGACCGGATGGAAGATTTTGTTGATTCTTTGCTCCAAAATTGCTCCAACTGCCACATCACTAGCATCACACATGAGCTCAAAAGGCAAGCTCCAATCCGGTGCGATGATAATAGGAGTATTAGTCAACTTGAACTTGAGAAATTCGAATGCCTTCATACAATTTTCGTTGAAATGGAACTTGGCATCCTTTTCCAAAAGCTTACGCAAGGGGTTCACCACTTTGGAAAAATCCTTGATGAATCGGCGATAGAAACCCGCATGACCAAAGAAGCTCCTCACTCCCTTCATGGATGTAGGAGGAGGGAGTTTGGAGATCACCTCAATTTTAGCCTTGTCGACCTCAATACCATGCTTTGAAATTTTGTGACCGAGGACAATGCCTTCCTCAACCATGAAGTGACACTTCTCCCAATTCAACACCAAATTTGTCTCATCACGTCTAGCCAAAACCCTATCCAAATTGTTTAAGAAATCCTCAAAAGAATTCCAAACCAAAGAAAAATCATCGATGAAGACCTCAAGAATATCCTCCACTATGTCGGTGAAAATAGCCATCATACATCGTTGAAAAGTTGCCTGGTGCATTACACAACCCAAATGGCATCCTTGAAAACGAGAAAGTACCATAAGGACATGTGAAAGTGGTCTTCTCTTGGTCTTCAGGATCAATTAGAATCTGATTTTAGCCAGAGTATCCATCAAGCAAGCAATAAAAAGTATGTCCGGCTAACCTAACAAGCATTTGATCAAGGAATGGAGCGGGAAATGATCTTTCCGAGTGACTTTGTTGAGCTTCCTATAGTCCATGCACTCTCTCCACCCGGTGACAGTTCTTGTGGGGATCAATTAATTCTTATCATTTGTTACCACAGTCATGCCCCCTTTCTTTGGGACACATTGCACCAGAGAGGTACACGAGCTATCGAAAATGGGGTAAACAACCCCGACATCCAACCACTTGATTATCTCCTTCTTTACCGCCTCTTGCATTGCTTCATTTAGCCTCCTTTGATGTTCAACGGGGGGTTTGGCACCCTCTTCCAAAATAATCTTGTGCATGCAAAATGTGGGCCTATTCCCTGGATATCCGCCAATGCCCAACCGATTGGTATTTTACTCCTTTTAGAACTTCCAATGTGGACTCCACCCGCATGTTAGTGAAATTCGAGGAAAGAATAACCGGTAAATTAGAAGAAGGGCCAAGGAATTCATACCTGAGATGCAGAGACAATGGCTTTAACTCCAATGTGGGAGGCTCCTCGATTTAGGGCTTTGTTGGCGGAGTCTTCAGGTTCTCAAGATCCAAGGATAACTTGTGGGAATCATAAGTGTACGACCCCATTCCTTGCAATATATTCACACATTCCACATAGCTATCATTCTCCTCATCTTCGAGGTTGAGCAATATGGCTTCCAATTTGTCCTCAACATTCATTGTGGCACTAGCATCATCAACAATCACATCGGTCTCTAAATCCACGAAAGAACGAACTTCATTGCTATTCGGTTTCCTTATAGATTTGCACACATGGAAGACCACCTTTTCGTCACCCACTCGGAAAGTGATCTCACCGGCTTTCACATGAACAAGAGCCTTCCCCATAGCGAGGAAAGGTCTTCCCAAAATGATAGGCACCTCATAGTCCACTTCACAATGAAGAATCACAAAATCTGCCGGGAGGATGAACTTGTCAACACGAACTAACACATCATCAATAATACCCAAAGGCCTCTTCATTGTACGATCCTCCAATTGAAACCTCATGGATGTGGGTCTTGGTTGCCTAATTCCCAAAGGTTTGAAAACTCAATAGGGCATCAAGTTGATACTTTCCCTGAGATCACATAAAGCTTTGGCAAAGTTGGCAGTCCCAATAGTGCAAGGGATTGTGAAAGCGCCCGGATCTTCCAATTTCGGAGCCATTGAGTTCACAATAGCACTCACTTGATGCGTCATCTTGATAGTCTCACAATTCATCAATCTTTTCTGGGTCACCACGTCCTTCATGAACTTTGCATAACCCGGCATTTGCTTTAAAGCCTCAACCAACGGTACATTGATACACAAACTCTTCATCATATCAATAAATTTTTTGAATTGGTTCTCACTATTTTGCTTTGCAAGACTTTGAGGGTATGGAGGAGGAGGCCTTGGCATTTGTGCCTTAGCCTTTGGCACTACCGGTTCCGGCATGTCAATCACGTGTTCCCTAGATGGGTTCACTTCTTCTTGCGTCTCCTCCACATTTTCATCAATATCAATTCTCACTTCTTCATTAGCTTGAACCACATTGCTTGGAATTTATCTTCTTGAACCACAACATCATCATCCACAATTCTTCTTTGATTTGAGGTAGTTGCATCTCCTCCTTTTCCACTTCTTGCATTCACGGCCATATCATGTCCTGTATTATTCCCACCCTTTGGGTTCACTATCGTATCACTTGGTAGTGCCCCCTTAGGACAAGTGTTCAAAGCTTTCAAGATTTGGCCCAATTGAACTTCCAAATTGCGGATTGAAGTGTTGTGAGTGGCTAATTGAGCATCGGAGTTGGCATTCTTTTCCATCATCTGTTTAAACATGTTCTCAATTCTACCCATCTCATTGTTAGACGAGCTCGGACCTTGAGAAGGATAGGGAGGTGGATTTCTTGGCTGTTGCAACATCGGGGGCCTTTGAAAACCCTACCCCCGATTGTTATTGTTGTTCCACCCTCCTTGGCTATTGCCACCCCAAGTGCCTTGATGATTACCTCCCCAATTGCCTTGATTACCTTTATTATTCCAATTTCCTTGCTCATTGTTACCGCCACTCCAATTGCCTTGGTGGCCTTGGTTGTTCCAATTTTCTTGATTTCCTTGTGACAGCCATTGTTGTTGAGTTTTTCCTTGAGCATTGTTTCTTTGGCCTTGATAATTATTGACATACTGCACTTTTTCTTCTTGCTCATTAAATGAATCACCTTTATCATAACCACTATCATCTTTCATGAATTGTTTTGGACGGCTTTGCATTTGTTGACCATGTTGCCGTCTCTTGTTTATCATCATATTCACACCTTCCATCGCATTCACTTGTATCGGACCTTGAACTTGTTGAAGCAGAGCTTTGGCCAACTGGTTCATTGTAGTTGTCAACTGGGAAATAGCTTGCCCATGATCATGTAGCTCCTTGTGTAGGTGAATGACATTTGGGTCACCGTGAGGAACATTGGCTTTACTTTGCCATGCCGATCAGGTATCCGCTCATCAAGAATTTCACAAGCTTCGGCATAAGGCATGTTCATGGAGTCCCCACTGGCGAGTTGATTTACCACATATTGATTTGTTGTGTTGATCCCCCAGTAGAAGGTTTGTTGGATCATGGCCTCGGTCATATCATTATTCGGGAACTCTTTAACCATGGTATGATATCTTTCCCAAAATCTCGTGCAATGGCTCATTGGGTTCTTGCTTGAATGTAAGAATCTCATCCCGAAGTGTAGCCATATGTCCCGGACAGAAGAATTTGGCAATGAATGTTTCCGCCAACTCATCCAATGTATGGATGGAATGATTGGGCAATCTTTCTAACTAGTCCAACGCCTTTCCCCGTAGAGAAAAGGGAAATAGCCTCAACCGCAGCGCGTCCTCGTAGACATTTGTTTGCTTGCTCCCCAAACAAGTATCCACGAACCCTTTAAGATGCTTGTAAGCATTTTAACTCAGAGCCCCGGTGAAGAATCCCTGTTGCTCAAGTAGTGTAAGCATCACATTGGTGATTTGGAAGTTGCCCGCCCTAATGCGGGGCGGGACTATAGCACTTGCATAACCCTCGCTCGGTAACTGTCGGTGTGATGCTGCTTTTGGTGGAGGTGGGGGACGGACGGGAACATTGTGGTGGGTAGCCTCATCTATTTTCTTGAGGTTCAAAAAGAACCTCATCAACTTGGTCATCATCCACGTTCTCCCCCGTTGGCAAATTCCAAATGGGCTCTTTGTTGAGAGCCATTTTCGTACCTAAAATCAATTCAAAAACAAACTTAGTGACTCAGAAGGAAAAGAAGACAAATCACACAAAAACCTAGATATATAGCTAAATCCGTTTAAGTCTCCGAAAACGGCGCCAAATCTTGATGTCGCCCAAACTCACAATCAAATATAGGTCGTGANAGGTCGTGAGGCAGTCAAAGCAATAATAAAAATCTAACGCAAGTCGGGGTCGAATCCACAGGGAGTTAGAATTTGGATTAGGTATACACCTAGCGTGAATATATGATGTGCCTCGAATTACACTTTCACATAATTGGTTGTTGTTTCTACTTCTATTGATCATGCTAATTATTGGAATTGTAAAGCTAAGAGACAATATTTTTTGTTTTGGTTGTTGTTCAAGTTTATAAAAGGTCTAGGGTTGTGACTTTGACCTAGGTGGTTACCTAACGGGTTGTAAACTCTAGGGCAAGTTTGATTGGTCGGGGTTGTAATATAGCAATCGCACACAATCACCCACTCAATACCTCTCGGTAGTTAGAGTGTTTTGCCCAATTTGGCTTTCTCAAGTCCAAATGGGTATTGCACCAAACAAGTGATAAATACTCATGTCGGGTCTTACTATCTCTAGATTCAACCCTTTAATTGGGGCTATCAATTTCTTGAGTTCACCCTAATTTCTTGTTAGCCAAGTTTTCCTAGACTTAGTCTCTCTTTCTCAAGTAGAGACTAAGTCAAATAGGCATGAATCAATGTTTGCAACCATTAATTCTTGAATTCACGCAAGAACTAGGCTAAATATCACTAACCCATTCACAAACAAGCCCTAAATCAAACACCCATTAAGTACCCACACTAGGGTTGGGTCACAAACCTAGCTAGAAATTAAGCTACTCATGGAAAATGCAGAAATTAAAGAAAAAACTAAGATAAAATTTATAATAGATGATTAAGGAAAGAATATCTAATGTTAAAATGCTAAAGTAGTACAATGTTACCCAATACAGTAAGTAAAAACGGCTCAGGTGCTCTCCCAAAACAAAACTTAACCTAAAAATGACAAAAATATCTATTTATACTAAGCTGAAAATATCTGACAAAACTGCCCCTGCGGAGGTTGTGCGGCCTCACAATTCTGTGTGCGGTCCGCACTCAGAGCTTGACTGGTCAACTGGTCCTTCTGCGGTCGCATAAAAGTGGGATGCAGCTGCACTTCACTTGATTGTTCGGACCGCACAATTCTGAGTGCGGCCGCATACTTGAACTTGGACTGGAACATGGCTCTGTAATTCTTCACTTCTGCGGACCGCACCATTATGAGTGCGGCCACAATTGACATCCTGCGCCCGCACAATAATGGTGCAGTCCGCACTTATTCATGGCCCAAAGATACAATTCTCTGAACTTCATATTCTGCGGCCGCACTCACTTTTGTGCGGTCCGCACTGTGCCCCTTTTAGCCTCGTTGTGGTCCTTGTGAAAATTTGTTCATTCTAGAGTTGATTTTCATTTCTTTGGCTCATATTGCAACACTCCTGCAAGAAAGCACATTTCATTAGTTTTGGGGACTGCATTTATGCAATTTTGAGCTAAAACGAAAGTGAAAGACTGCAAATAAGTAGTCAAAATCCCTACATATCAGTACACTCGCACAAGCATATACCGTAGCATGCCACTTATATTAGCTCAGGAGTATGAAACTTGACATTTATTGATTATGCCCATGTGTCCATGTATTATCTGTTTCCATGATAATTTCGAGCCTGTGACGAATTGTGATTGTGAGCCTATGATCATACCGAGCGGATTGTGGTTGTGAGCCTGTGATCATACCGGGCGGATTGTGATTGTGAGCATATGACCATGCCGGGTGGATTGTAAATGTAAGCATGTGATCATGCCGGGCAGATTGAGATTTTGGCACGTGAGTTGTCCGTGCTGTTGTGATGCGAGATGTGGGCACGAGGTGTCGTGAGTATATGATGGTGGGTTTAGACCCGTGACTTGTGACTATGAGGTGAGGTACCACAGAGTGATTTCGTTGTGAAACGTGTGTTAGAACGACTTGATTAATTGATTGTCCTTTATGCTTCCCTATTTGGTTTTAATGATATATCACGGTGTTCTTACTGTTTTACTGTTTATATCACTTGTTGGTTCTTGTCGCCATTTACTGATTTTCGCTTTTTGTTATTAGTATTATACTTCTATACTGCACAGTTTATTTGTCTAGTGAGTGTCTTCACTTGTACCTCGTCACTACTCCACCGAGGTTAGTCTTGATACTTATTGGATACCGACTGTGCACTACTAGAAATTACAGCTATGGCAACCCTTCTAAAACTGTTGCAATAGATAGGCTAACCGTCCCTATAGGTATATTGGGATGGATTTGGACGCGTTCCGGGATTCGGCGTTACAATAGGTCTATTAGAACGGTTATTTGCAACGGTTTGAAAACCGTACGCATAGATAGGGATATTGTAACGGTTTGGACTGCACCATTGTCCTATCTATAGGAACGGTTTTCTTTTGTGTTGGGACGGTTTATAACCGTCCCGATATAATAATACAATTGATTTTTTAAGTCTATTGCAACGGTTTTTGTGATATATTGGAATAATTATCAGTACCCTATTGCAACGGATATTGTGACATATTGGAACGGTTATTAGGGGTTGCTCTTATTATTTGCTAGGTCTATTGGAACGGTTCTATTCTCTATTGCAACAAATTATAATTTTTAATATTTATGGAAGCAAAATAAGAAATATTTTTCCTATTCCATGAAATTGTTTACACCATATCCAACTAGCATTATCCATGTACAAAAATAAAATAAGGATACATTGTTTGGTCAACAATTCAAAAGTCAAAATAGATAGTTTGAATACAAAAAGTTCTAATCTAAAATATATCCTTAAACATAATAATAGAAAGTCTAACAACGATCAACAACACTCAAGTAAGGTCTTCGTCACCGCTTTCATCCGCAATCGCTGCACCTACAAAAGACAATGAGAAATAATCAAACATAACTTTTAGGATAATTGAGTCATAAAGTACTTAAAGCAGCTGCAAGCACAAATTCAATTAATAAGCAATGCAAGAAACATGGAGTCTCAAATGATGATGCCTCCAGTACTGTCTACTCTAGGATTAATGCACCACATATTCATATGCCTTTACTAGCAAAAGTGGGCATGGGTGTCAATCTTGGCATGACACCAGGAATGCTTAACAATATGACTGCTAATAATTTAATCATATGCCTTCAGTACCACATATCATATGCCTTTTCAAACTCTCTAAATTCTTAAATTTTTCGGCAGAGTTTCCTTTGTATATATGAGTGCTATTGTGAACTCAATGTGGACTATGCAGAACCTACTACGGCTGATAACTACTGAACCAAAACAACATCACCTAAACAATATTATGTCTGATAGCTATTGAACCAAAATGACAATAGAGTCACGTTGTGCTAATAACGCTGTTAAGACTTTAGAGCCTAAGCAAGCAGAACTACAGAAGCAAAAACAGAATACCTGCATCAGAACTCAATAAAAAGTTATCATCAACCACAATTGTTGTTTACATATAAGTGGCACCTAGCCATCCAAAGATGAAAATATCAAATATGCTTATAACTACACATAGTATATACTAAAACCTTCCTGCATCAAAGGCTGCGCTCCACAAATTATCAGCCTATCTTTGGCCTAATTCAGTTCCTGGACAAGGATTAAGCCTCAAACAAGAAACAAAGTTATCCTAAAAAATCATACAAAAAGGGAATCCAGTAAGCAAAGTTGAGTATTCTATTATTCATAATTACTAAAAAGGCTTTACGAGCAGCAAAATTACCACTAACGAGTAGCAGCCCAGCATAACAAAATTTCTAACCCAGCAGTAGAATTTTTAATTCAAGATTACACTTGAAGTAACTCAATATAAAACAACGTGTCCTTCAAGTAACTATCTATTAGCTGTGTCTCGTCGCCCTATATTTGAGCTAAATTGGAGGGGGAGGAGGAGGAGGAGGAGGAGGAGTTATATATGTCGCTGGGTCTATATTTGCTCAACTTTTTAAAAATAAAACAAAATTAAACACCAGTTCTTGAAAAAGACAGCAGTGGAAATGTTCTCCAGAACTGAGAAGTAAACTGGGTACCTCTATCTGATATAATAGAAACTGGGACCCCATGCAACCGCACAATCTCTCGGATGAAAATCTCTGCTAACCGCTCCGAAGAATAAGTAGTGCATACAGGATGAAGTGTGCGGACTTGGTTAGCCTATCCACAATCACCCAAA